CCGTGCCTCTGAAACCATAGACCAAAATAAACTCCTTCCTCGATTAGTCCCTTTTGTTCATGACATCTTATCACAGTAACTAATACATAGGCCTTCATTTGTTTTATGTGTTTAAAAATCTCCACTATGAAAATATCTATGTAATAAACAAAAATAAGAGCATTCAGTTTCAAAATGAAAGTATCTGGGTCATCTTGGGTCCAGCTGCAGATGAAAGAAATCACTGGGAGGAGCATAAGTGGCAGAAAGAAAAATAATATCTGGAAGACATATAAGATGCTGCCTTAATTGTTCAGTCAATGAGAAGACGGAGGAAGGGGCATGTATTAGAGCAGTGGTTCTCAACCTGTGTGTTGTGACCCCATTGGGGGCTAAATGACCTTTTCACAGGGGTTGCATATCAGATATCCTTCATATCAAATATTTATATTAAAATTCATAAAGGTACCAAAATTGCAGTTATGAAGTAGCATCAAAAACAATTTTATTGTTGGGGGTCGGCACAACATGAGGAGCTGTATTAAAGGTTCATAGCCTTAGCAAGGTTAAGAACCACTGTATTGGAATGATAAAAACTGTTCTCTGTGACCAACTAGCATGCTTCTGCTGACTGCCAGGTTTGCAAGGTCATTCTGTGATTTTCTAAGGCTCTTACTATGAAGGTACTACATTTCTCCCATGCTATCAAGGAGCAGGGGGAAGAAATCAACAGGTTTTAGCAGTTTTAGTAGTAATTACAAAGTTGGAAATACTTCATTTGCTACAAATTTAAGAATGTGGGGCTGGAGAGGTGGATCAGGGGTTAAGAGCACTGACTGCTCTTCCAGAGGTCCTGAGTTCAATTCCCAGCACCCACACAGTGGTTCACAACCATCTATAACGACATCTGGCACTAAAGTGTATATATAATAGAAGAGGAAGAAGAAGAAGAAGAACAACAACAACAACAACAACAACAAGAGTGTGAAGAAATCCTCTAAAAAACAAATTTAAGAATGTAACTACTGTATTCAATAATAAATTAAAAACAAAATGAACTGCAGTAAAAGTTTAATGTATATTTGACCGTACCTAATTAACATTTAATATTCTTAAAACTTCTAATGGTATCTTTATTGTGTCTTACTGGAAGGTGCCTCTTGAGCAAGCAATTCAAGCCAAGAGATGGTGCTCTATGTTTTAAGAGATAAGTTTTCTATACTAATTTAATAAATATATTGCAAATTATGTAGCTAGTACAAAGTTTTCATTAAGTCTGAATGAGTTCAGAAAATACTAGAAAGCATAAGTTCAACACAGTGTGCCAGGAAGTTTCCAAACATCATTTCATTAGATTCTGGGTAGCAGATGTGTGTGAACACGCATAAGTGCATTCATGCATTTACTGTAAGGATCATATGTTTCTTCCACTGACAAAGTAAAGAGATAAGTGGTTGTGGAGAATTAAAGATTTCAGTGTTCTCCAGTGTGCGCACTAAAAACAATTCACATAATTCCATATTTAAGAGAACGGAGGTTTGAAAATCTGGTGTAAATATTGGAAGTTTGTTTGACTGTAGTACTTCATTGCTCTTGGAAGCAAAACTGAAAGGCTTCTAGACAATTCAACCACAAGAAAGTAAAAGTAACTGGTCCACAACAGGATGAGAATGGCATGCAGAGCAGATTACAAACAGTTCTCTTCTATCTTTATTTATGAAACCTACTCAAGTAAAATGACTACGTTAGAGTGTGCTCAAATAATGAAGTTAAAGTCACTGGAGATGGGTTAAAATGCAAAGTATCTCTTTCAAATAAAGTGCCCATTTTTTTTCAACTTATATACCATGTCATTGGGCAATTAGATGACTGTTTTTGAAGTTATGTTTGTTTTGTAGTACTTATACTCTCAATGAATGAATTAGCTAAAAGTTTTCATAGAAAGTTTACAAATACGTGGCATTTTTATTCCTGTCCTCTAGAGAATGCAACAAATCTATTTAATATTCATAATATTCCAAGGTAAGTATGATGATATATATATATATTATTACAAACTTTATAAGTAGGATTATATTTCATTCAAGAGTCCCATGTGTCAGAATAGCTAACTGTTTAACACAATGTCATGGTTTCTCTATATAATTTACCAGCCCCTATAGAGACCCAATTGTTCATCAACATCTATAACTACATGTTCTCCTCGCTTAATCAAAGGTGGTGAAATAATGTGGGCTGGAGAAATGCAAAGCACCCCATCTGAAACACCAGCTCTGCCTTAGTCACACCCTTCCCTTATCAGCCACCTGATGCAAATGAGAGGCTCCGGAGGTCTAGATCTTCTTCAACTAAATAATGAATTGGAGGCCAGAGAAAGTCTATCTCACAAAAAGAAAAAAAAAAACCAGAAGTATTTTGCCTATGTGGTGCTGGATTAGTAGCCAGGCAGTACCAATGAGGTAACTTAATAGCAGAAACGGAAAAAGTGGATGATCGTGTTAAGCAATGTTTAAATATTTCGTCAAATGTCATCATTAAGTACTGGTAGTAAAATTCAATCAATGAAAGTTAGAAGCGAACACTGTCAATGTCTATGCACTGAAGCTAGAGTCATACACTCGAGGAAAGATGGTAGACAATGTCAACACGGGCACAGCTTCAACTGGGCATTATATCCTTCCACATTCATGCTTCTATGAATTTTATGCCTTACATAGCCTCAGTACTGCTATTAATCACTGTAATTACTATTTTCATGAACAGTCTCTATTTGGATTTACCAGCATGGCTGTCCTTATCATCTCAATTTCCATGTCTCTGTTTCAGGTTACTTTATTTCTATCAGAGGCATTCCCTAAGTATTTCTATTAGGTTTGCTAGCAGTAACTTCTCCCCTTTTGTTTGAGAATGCCATTAGTTGTTTTATTTGTGTTTTCCTATGGTTATAGAATTGATTATAGAATCTAGGTACTTTCTTTTTCTGACGTGTTAAAGATGTCTTTCCACTGGCTTCTGATTTCTGCCATTTCTACTGGGGAATTAGCTGTCAGGCTTTGAAGATGGAGTGTCTTTTAGCTTTGCCTCTTTTAAAGTTTCTTATCTGTTTTTTATTTTCATTTTCTATATGCCATTCCTAGGTGTGATTCCTTTATATTTTTTCTCGTAGAGTCTTTGTCTAAATTGTGCTGCTGAATCTTTCATCCATTTATTAAGTTCTTCCTTAGCATTTATTCAAATACTGCCTCTGGTTGACTGTGGTGGTATACACGAGTGGGGGTGTGCTGAAGAGGTAGAAGCAGTAGGAGCGAATGTTGTCTCTGGTACATTTTCTGCCTCATTCTGGAATGTCAGATCATAATAATACATTCCACATATCAGTTATATTCCTTCTCTTTTGGTGATCCAGGATGGATCTTTTCTGTTGACTTTTTGTCTCCTGCTCCTTCTGACCATTTATATGATCTTCGTTTTCAGTCATCAATGCAATTAGTTTGCACCTCTACCCCTATGAGAACATTCTTTAACCTTGATTTTTTTCCATTATCTCCATTTCTTCAAATCATATGTTTGATTCAATTAATTATGATAATGTTTCCATCAGTTAATAACTTGATTATAAGTCTGCTTTAATTGTATCTTTTTCCTCCTCTTTATTTCTGGCCCTAGGACTCTATTTCTTGACATGCCTATTAATTTTAAATACAAAGAGTAAATTGTGTATAAAATGTATTAACTCCATTTAATATTAACATTCTCCAGATGAACCTTTTGTTGTTACTTTTTTCATCTATATGGCTAATATACAGAGTTGAGAAGGGTAGCTCTCATAATCTACTGGGGGATAAAGTAAACACAGTATATAGATTAGGTTGACTGGCCTCAATGTTTCCAAATTACATCAAGGATGAATTTACCAGAAGGTGTCCTAGTGCTAGATATTGAAGAATGTTCCTGTATAAGAGATTTAACAGTAGACTAGGTCATGTATGTATTTATTGATCAGTTTGAGAACTATGTTGCTGGGTTTTTTAATTAAAATGGGCCTATTTTTTTAATTAAAATAGTGGTGGGGTTTGGGCACAGAAATGACATGAAAATAAATGGTATTTCAAGTACTTTGCTTGAATGTTTAAATGTGAATAGAGTAATAAGAAGTAACACATGACCACAAATGAGACAGCAATATCACTCCTTCAAAAAAAATTCACCAGAGAATATTAAAGAAGAATTGATAGAAAGAATTCAAAAGCTGGGGTAGGTGGTATAGTGTAAAATCCTGACTTCAGGGTGTGGTATAGTTGCTGCAATCAAGTTCACAGCAACTGTGATTACCTGCCCAAGATCAGCACAATAACGGCAGTCAACAACCATTCATAGAAGGTGAAAGGACTCTTGAGGTCCTGCCCCTCCCTGAGAGCTTGTGCACAGTCATTCATTAATGGGGAAGAGAGAAACATTTTCTTCAGTGGTGTAGCCACTGGGAAGATGCTCATGTCTCTGTAAACAAATTTTTCAGCTATACTCTTGTAAAGAACCGTAGTGAAACTCGTGAGCTCAGAGAAAGAAAGAAAAGAAAGGAAGAAGAAAGACATGAGTTATGAGAGTGGAAATGGAGTGAGTTGACAATAGAAAGTGGTTTGGAGAGAAAGAGAGAGGGTAACAGTGTGGGTAAATATGATGAAAATCTATTATATCCATGTACGAAGATATCATGATGAAGTCTATTGTGCTAATATTTAAAGTATTTTTCAAAAAAGAATGATACAGGAGGTGGCAGAAGCATGGAGATCCCTCCAGCCATGTTCCAGTCTGTAACAGGTAATTCAGACAGAAGGGGTTAGATGGCATATACACTCTTGCCCAGATATGGGACAAAAGAGCAAAAGACAGGCCAAGACTCAAACTCAAATTGTAGTCCTGAGTATAAAGAATGGTCACTATTAATTAATCTTGAAAGGACCTTTATTTTGGAGCTCTATAGCCTGAGAGTTCAGTTTGAGATTCACTAATATGGATACAGATAGGTACAGAAGTTTGATGTTCAGCTGAACAAGCCTGATAGAAAATGAGGCTTCTGTGTGAGAGTAACTGAAATCAATTGACATGAAGCATGAAGAATGCCCTAAGCGCTGGAACCGAACAAAGCTGGCGATGTTTGCTAGGAGATTCTTTTCCTCCCAACTGCTAACATCACTTGTTGCCATCTGGACCATCAAGTGTCATTCACCTAAATTTTATAAAGAAAATATGGGTTTTGTCAGAAGAAGCAAGTTGTTCAGTAATAAAGAATGATAAAACTTGCAATACATATTTTTCATCTGTCAGTAGGAAATGTCTTCCCACACTCGGATGGCTATCTGGGCAGTTACATGGGTTTTACCAAGATGGTGTAGCCAGGCTCACTTTTGTCACCACCACACCTGCTTCTTCTTACTATGACATCATTTCTTCTAGGCTGTTTTAAAATCATCACTCCGTGTCATCAGAAAGACAAAAACTGATGGTTTAACTTTTCATTTGTCGACAGAAAATAAGCCACTCAAATGGAGACTGAGGTGAAAGAATGAAAAACAAAGTAATAGATAACCTGTCACCTCTGAGAGCGGAGCGCTAAAGAACACTTACATGTGGAGCTGAGCAATTTTGACAACAGTGTTAAATGGGTTGTGGTACTTGCTATGTTTTCCAATTGTTTAAAAGAATTTTCACTTAAAGAAATGGGGGAATGGTGTAAAATACTTCAGAAACTATTTCAGAATTTATCAGTCCCCTGTTTCAAAGGACTTCCTAATGAAAGAGGAGGCATCAATCCATTATCAGTTTGGTGATTGCTAGTTTAGAAGTGATGTGCATGTGAACTTACCTCCTATAAATCACATGGTTTTGCATCTTAAGTATAGATTTTACTCTGAAAACAAAAATAAAACTCAGTAAATGCTATAGTATTTATAGGATTAATAGACATATTTATGAGCCATATAACACAAGAAAGTCAAGTTCACCCTAAAACTAACCCACATATTATCTGCACAATCAAGTTCTGTCATCTCACTATGAAATTATTTTTATATGAGTATAGGCCTGAAAAAAATTTAAAACAAAATGTAACATTGAGGAAGAGTCACAAATAATATTCAGAGTTGTTACAAAGAAATTGGAGAATCCATCTCAAGAGACATGATTCAAAAATGATTTTTGTCTTATACCAAGAAGCAGAAAATGATTTTGTCCAAAATTTAATTATACAGATTTTAAGGAGCCTTCTTTGGAAAATCTCTTCAAAACCCTGTCATGTAAGACCCAAAGTCCATTCTACTTGTTTTGGACACACAATTTTTTCCTTCTGTGCAGAGCAGCATGGATGAGGATCTTAACAGTCTGGGATCACACCTCTCCTTTGCTTCCACGTTTCCTTCCAGTCCCCTTGCTGTCTTACATCTATGACGCTAGGCCTAAGCTATCCAGACAGTGGAGGCCAGCAACAGGGTGTGCCATAGCAAAGTCTATCACTTCTGAGAGGTGACTAGTTTAAGGTAAAGGCATCTGGGAAGAGATGGAGAAAGGTCCTGCACCTTCCCTCATTTAGTACAAATTTACAGGGGTCTCCTCGCCTCTTTTCCAGAGAGCAAGACTAACCATCCAAGGTAATTGTGAATACCTTTACTGTGGTCTGAATGTATACATGTCCTAAAATTTGTAGATTGAAATTTGATCCTTAATATGATGGCATTCATGGGTGGAACTTTCGGAAGATGGCTGAGTCATGGGTGTGAGCCCTCACAGTTGGGACTGATGGACAGAACAGTAAACGTGTTCAGTGTTCTTTTCCCAGCAGGTGAGACATACATCATTATTTATAGAACAAGAAGATGGCTTCACCAAGCACTAGGGCTAGCAGCGCCTTACTATTGAATTCTAGAGCCTCAAGAAATGTAACCCAATTCTATTGTTTGTAGCCACCTTATTTGTTGCACAGCCCACACAAACCATGACACGTGAGGACCCTGCTCAGCTCAGAGACTTCATGACAGGCATCTGTGTAAATCTCAGGAGCTCGATTTTGTCTGCTTTTTCTTATACATTTGTCTTCCTATATTTTCTGCTGAGAAAAAGTTAAGGACTTTTCTCCATGTCTTACCTCTTCTCTGACAAAGTATGACTTTTACTGAAGATGCCATATAAGAGGAAAGTTCAAGTCACCTTTGTAACAGCCATTCATAATACATGCTGATAAAGTAGCCTTCCCATGAAAAAAGTAACAAATCAATTTTCTGGAAAACAACAGGATAAAAACTGCAAGATTTTTTTAGGTTATTTATCTTAAGTTTGAAGTTTGTTTCATATCTCCATCTATAAAGGGTCCAACAAATACGGAAGGCATTAACAGGAAAGACAAATGGGATTTGCGTTGATTAAATCCCAAGTTGGGTTGAAGGTTCTCTCCCAAGTGATTTTTCCTTCTATTCAAAACGTCAAAGGGGATCTCATCCTCCAGGATCGGGTGTTATTCCCTTGTTTTGAAATGAATGCATAACATGTCTGTATTCAGCTCATATAAGTATTCAAAGAGAAGCGTTATCCATAATATCACATGAAAGGGGGGTATTTTAGAAGACTGGGAAAGGGGCTGGGAGAAAGAAAGGGAGAAATACAAGATTAAAGGCTAGACTTTTAGGAGAAGAAAGTAAACAAAAGATTAGAAGGAAAACCAAGAAACAAAGTACGGCCCGTGGCTCATCAGCTCTCACGTCGCTGTTTTCTTGTATTGAAGTAAACAAAGTAATAAGTGTATTGATTTGGACATTCTTTTTTAGTTTCCCAAACACAGCATCGAAGTTTTCCACCTGAGCTCTTACGTTTCTTCATTCCTTTTCTGAGAGATGGGGTTTGGGTTAGGGAGCAATGCCTCTCTTCTGGTCATCTGTCTTTCTTTGTGGGAGATTTAGGGACTCACAGTGAAAGTTCTTGACTTGAGGAATGACGCTCAGCTCCAGAGGATTTTGAGACTGAGGAAAGAAGTCCTCCTCTGGCATGGAGTTTGCAGTAGACTCTGACCTGTCTCCCCTAATTGATTGAAATTGGAAGCTGGCTTCTTCTCAGACATAAGGATTATGGAGAAGGTCAAATCTAAAGGCACAGAGAGGGGGAAGAAAGGACGGCTTCAACTGAATTTCTATTTTTAATAGACATCACAAAGGATGTGGTATCTTTCTATTAGAGTCCAAGCTCATTCCATCACTTATTTAACACATACACAGATGTTTCCACTTCATCTAAAATTCTTCAATTTGAATTTACAATAGTTAAGTTACAAAGACCACAACCAAAGCAAAGGTTTTCATTGTTTTGTTTTGTCTTGTGTTTTGTGAAGAAATAGGAAAATGCAAAATTGGAAAATAAAATAGTATTTTATTTTCTGGCATAATGGGATGTTGTAATGAATGTTTTACTGCATTGGTCACATTTACATTTGGGTTTATTTGAATAGAGCCACAGTCTACTTTATAAAGTAAAATAAGCCAAATAAAGGAGCTTTCTCTATGTTTCTTTATGACTATTTTTGTAGTGCTATGACATAATATTCTTTTAAAACATTAGCTAGATTTATTAACCTTGTCATTGAAAGAAAATTTAAGTTTTGGAAGGTTGGTTTTTAGTATCAACAAAAAAATGGAACGAATATATACCTTATTACTAAATTATTGCTTTTTTAGACAAAAATAATAAATTACTAATATATCAACTTACTGTAAGCATAGCTGCATTTATGTTTTGTGGAGAAGAAACACTGCATTATAAAAACTAGAAGAAAAACACTGATTAAGTTTGCTGACTTTTAAAGCTTTCTCCCTAAATCACACCACCATTCATAAATAAGAAAGAACTAATCAAATAACCAATACTGAGGCAGGAATGAGAGCTCCGTCGGAGTAAAGGAAAAAAGGCCCATAATAAAGCTGCAGCTATGACCACATAAATGTGAAAACAAAGAAAGCAGAGTTTAATTAGTCGCTAACAAGACACAAGACACAGTCAAAGTCCCGGCGACACTTACAAGGTCAACAACTGGCAAGAACAACTTGACAGAGCTTGTTAACTGTTAAGAGCAGTTAACAAAGCAGAAGAAAGAGATGGACAATGGTAGGGCAGGGCTTCAACACCTGATCACCTTTCTAACTGCAAACAATGCAGGAGCAAAATGTGATGGTCTCTCTCACTCAACCAGAAGGATCTGTGTAGAGTGTATATTGCTCTTTGACTCTCATTGGCTAAAGATATAATCCTACTCTGCTCTCATTGGTTCAGAGTATGATCCTATTCTATTCTTATTGGCTCAGGGTATGATCTTCCTCTGGTCTCATTGGCTCAGGGTATGATCCTCCTCTGCTCTCATTGGTTAGGATATAATTTGTTGCAATGAGGGCCGCTTGTTGGTTCCCAGTCGTGCAGCTAGCTTTGACCCAAAATAATCACACACAAACTATATTAATTAAAACATGGATTGGCCCATTAGCTCTAACTTCTTATTGGCTAACTCTTACATCTTAATTTAACACATTTCTAGTAATCTGTGCATCATCACGAGGTCATGGCCTATCCAGCAAAGTTTCAGCATGTCTATCTCCCGCGATGGCTCCATGGTGTCTCCTGATTTTGTTCTTCTTCCTCACAGCATTCAGGTCCATCTTCCCTGCCTACCTAAGTTCTGCCCTGCTATAGGTCTAAAGCAGTTTCTTTATTCATTAACCAATAAAAGAAATGCATAGACAGAAGGACCTGTCACACCAATAATCCTCTTCTGCCTTCATTGGCTCTGAATATAATCCTATTCTACTCTCATTGGCTCAGAGTATAATCCCCTTCTGCTCTCATTAGTTCAGGGTATGATCCTCCTCTGTTCTCATTGGTTTAGCCCACAATATGCAGAGAAAATCCACAAATCTTGAGAGAAATGACCCTCGTGTTTGTCCAGCTTCTTCTATGAAATGTCCCTAAAAAAAGAAACTAGGCAGCTGGCTTTTCCCCTCTTTTGGGAGCATCACATTCTCTGAAATTTCTCTCACTCTTCCTGAATTCCTCAATCTTTCTGAGTTTCTCACTTTTCCTTAATTTTCCTTTGTTTAATCTGCCTTTGCTTTGCTTATTCTTATGTACATCCATGTTTTTAACTATCATCTTGGGACAATGCACTAAAGAAGCACTATCTCAGGTTGGATTTTGGTGACTTTTTGATCTCATACTTGTATTCTGAATCAAACACATCTTGGCTGAGAAAGACCCTGTAACTCTCTAAGATCTACAGCACAGCAGATTAAGTTACCTTCGTTGCTCCTACTATAAAAAATACTAGCTGGTGTCCACTACATCCTGAATACTATCCACAATTCTTCTGCTCAGGGAGCCATTTTGGAGAAGACCTTCAGCTAGAATGAATTCCTGTTTAATGTCTGCATTATCTATCATTTTGGGACAATGCACTAAAGAAGCACTATCTCAGGTTGGATTTTGGTGGATATTTGGATAGTCATAGTCGATAGAAAAAGTGAAGGAACACACTCATCTAATACCTGTAATCTCCACTGCAAAAGGTCACATCTTCACCCACATAACACACATTTTCAACCATGGACTCATACACATAAAATTTAAAAAAAAATAAATCTTTAAAATATAAGGGACAGATGGCCTAATAGTTTAGAGCATATTCTGTTCTTGCTGAGGACCTAGGTTCAGTTCCCAGCAATCACATGGTTGCTCACAACCATCAGTAACTTCAATATGCTGGTACCAAGCATACATGCAGTACATGATGAAGTCAAAACACAGGTGCACATAAAAATAAATTAATACATACATATATAAATAAAACTTGAAAAAAAACACTGTGCAGACATTTAATTCAGAAGGGGAGTTGTTCAAGTTAAAATACTGTAAGTGTACTGAAACTATTCAAAAAATAGAAACTAACAGGCCTGTCTTGTAAGAGGACATATAACTAGGTAATCTTGATCCAAGTCTGAAGCCCTCCAAAACAGCTGTTCAAGCTCAAAAGTGTAACTTGAAGCTCACCAGTAAGGAGTGAATGAAGTCCTTGCTCCCTTGGTTGTCTCCGTCAAGGACCAAAGCCTCAGAGCCATGAGTGGTAAACCTTCCCCTCAAGTGAGACTCAAAGGGATGGCAAAATCTTCCTCTAGTCTGAGTGGAAATGCTGCCAATGTATGCAGCAACAATCCACTGTAACTTTCACACCTAGATTATTTTCTGCCAGAAGATTCCTCCTCTATAGACTGCTTCTGATGAGATTAGCTAAACAGTTCCCCTTTTCCAGCTGTAGATAATAAATCTGCCTCCTTGTTTTCATGTATGTAATAACTCTACCTCCTTGTTCAAGTGCACGCAAACTGGCCTTTCTGTTCAACTGTATATAATACGTACACTGAGTGTCTCCGTCAGAGAGCCCAGTCCACCCCAACTTCCTCTGTACCCATGTGTCTGTTCTCTCTGCATTAATTTGATGCCCCGCTTTGGTCAATCACTAGAGCCATGTAGGATGCAGCATTCACCCCCAAATAAAATACCCAAAGGAATTTCAGTTTCCACCAATCCAAGGAATGAACTTTCACAAAGAACTCTGCCTTGTACCAAAGGAGTAAAATCTCAAGAGATCAGATTGCTTTCTCTTTCAAAATAGGAAGTCTGAATGGAAGATGTGGATAGAGTGATTATAGCTAGCAATTTTTCATTTCTCTTAAGTTTTATCTTAAGTATTTTTACTTCATTCTGGCTACACCTCCTTGGACCCCACTGCTGGTGGTTGGGGGAAATTTCTTCCAAGGCATGATCTTTTCTTTTTCTGTCTAGTATCTGTAAAGACTTAAAAATAACATTTTTAAAAAACCATTTTACGGCAATGAAACCCTTGAATCGGAGCCTGCTTGGTCTCAGACATGTTTTAAATGATACGTGTAAGTACTCAGTAGATTGCTCTGGTTCTTTCTTGCATAGATATACTCCTAGCAGTAGAAATGTGTGCCCACTAAAATTGAGCTGAATTTCCTGAACTGTTTATGCTAGCTGTACTTCTGACTACAATTATGTAATTAAATTAAGTGGTATGCAAATTGATGGAAGGTGATTGACGGTGGATTTGCTGTGTAAACTAAGTTAAATGCTTTGAAGACGTTCATAAATGTTAATGCCTAACATATAATCACTGTTGTGTGACAAGCAAGGGAACTTAAATATTGACAAAGGTTTTGGAAATAAAATCTAGGAGGAAGTTCCACTCAGTCTTATTTTTTTCCCAAGTACATGGACTCCACTACTAAATTTAAAGAAAGTAAAACTGGAAATCAAAAAGTACATCATGGATGTGTTTATATAACGAAGAAAATGTGATGCTTTTCTCAGCAGACATCAAAGTAATGGTCTTGGATCACCTTCAAAGATCGTGCAAATGAGTGCGAAATCATTGGTTTTAACTTAACGTGAAATGTTTATGTGTGCATTGACGAAGATTTTCTCCTTTAGCCAGAGCTCTGGACTGGTGCCACTGAGTCCTTCACCTGACGGAACCCAGTCTTGTGATTCTCTTCTTCTCCTTGTAGAGTTTGATTTGTCCAAGAGAACCACAAATTGGCTTGAGCAAAAATCCCCCGTCACTGGCATCTGATTTTCTTTGTGCATTTGCCTCCCCCACCCTTAGCGATCATCCACCAAGTTTTTTATTACTGTCCATTTGTTTCCTCTCAGTAATTTTCCACTCAAACAAGAATGGGAGGTAGGAACTGGTCAGGCAGATCTGGGGTAAGGAACTGTGGTCATAAATAGATTTTCTGTGCCTTGAAGCTGGAAATATCTCTAGTCCTCTGGGTAACTCTGTCCTTACTGAAGGTGAGAGATGCTGGAGGAAACGCTTTTGGCAAAATGTCTTTTGTTCTGACAGAACACAGGGATACCAGAAATGGGAGAGGGTTGATTTTTTTCTTTTTCTCTCCTGCCTACCTTTGCACCCGTTCCTGAAATCTGTCCGTGAAGACTTGACCTGAGGTGAGAGGAGGCATCTGGACACACCCTGCTTCAGACTACTGGACAGAGTCATTCATCTCCCTGCCCACACC